GGGAAAATCTAACTATATTTTTCTCCTTTCCTACCAACTGCCTTCCACACAGTCTTGAGAAAATACAGAAATATTTGCATGTAGTTGGTGTTGTAGTGGAAGATTTTATGAACCCAGTTAATAACCAGGGCTGTGTCAGGACAGAGAGAATTGATTTTCCATTTTATCAGCACAAGGAGAAGTAGTCGTAAAGACCAAGATGTTTATAACCTTCAAGAGATGTGGACCAGATCTAGGGCAACAAAGCCATCAAGGTTAGAGAAGGTTGTGCCAGGTTGTCTCCATCGGTCTGTTGTCCAGTATTCAACAGGCTCAGGGAGAATATCTGTCTGTGAGACTGGATATCTGAAGAGATGACACGTGTTCTGTTGTTTCAAAGTTTTTCTCCTTGCTTTCTCCCTTTCCCTCCACCTTCTTCCACCCTGCCCATCCTTTACTCTCGATACACGTGTGCCAGTTAATGCACCAGTGGTACCATAAAGTGAAAATACTTGGCTTAAATCTAAAGGCAGGAATATTCAGAACACAGTTCACTCTTCACAATGTAGTAGATGTGTGATCATGGACAAAATCATTTGTGTTTTCTGGGCCTCTGTTTTTCACCTATAAAACTTTATTGCATTTATACCATGCTGGAATATGAGTTCAGCCCCTGATAAATATTTTCTTGTTTGATCATTAGAACAACTTCTGAAAGGATTATTATTACCATTATCCCAGTACACAAATGATAAAACTGAAGTTTAAAATATTTTTTTAACTTCTTTACTGTAATTTAATTGATGACAGAGTTGAGGGCTGGACACACGTCCATCCAATCCATAAAGCTACGCACTTGGATGACTTATATTGCTTTGTTATTGTTGTTCAACACACGGCCCTTCTTTATTTTAAGGATGTATGAACGTATTTGTTTATAAATAATATGATAGACGCCTGTGAAACAAACTCCCACCATGAGCCAAAAAACTGACCAGAACCCTCGCCTGAACTGCGCTGCTCCCCCCGTCTGTCCCCCACTGCCATGGGATTTAAATCTGTGAAGGCAGCTAAACCTGCACACTGAGATGACAAGGCCAATCAACCAGGACCAGCTGAGGGATGACTAGCACAGGGGCTTCATGTAAAACTCTTATCACTTCATTTAACTAAAAACAACACACAAAGAAACGGGACTAACGGGTCAAACTGCATAGAACAGCCAACACTGGAAACCAGGACCCCCACTGCAAACCACAGTCCCCAGTGCTGCTGACACGGTCCTGGGTAGCCCCAGAGAACATCCAGGCAAAGGTAAGCACATGTCCCTGTTGTCCCCAGACTCTTGGTGTGATCCTGGGACTGAGTGTCACACTTGACACATCCCTCCCCACGGACAGGGCAGGCTGGCGCACAGATCTATGTTCTGCTCCCCACTTCACACGCTGCGCAGCAACCATTCATGCGGCATGTCCTGGAGAGCATCAGATTCCTAACTCTGTGACATCTGACAGAGAACGTCTGTTCCAGTCACAGTCCCTCAGCGGCTGGCGCCAGGCTCCCCAACCCCCAGGCCACAGAGGCCCCCTGCTCAGGCTGCCCCTGGCCCTGACCCCAGGCCGACTCCATCCCCGGGGACGCCCGCTGCACAGACCCCACCTCGATGTGGTCCATCAGCTCAGGGTCCCAGTCTTCCTCCTCCCAGTCGTCGGACTCCAGCACGTCCCTCAGGTCCGGAAAGGCGGGCTTGAAGCAAGTGAAGCGAAGCCTCAGACGGCTGCCTTGCTGCAGCTGATACACCAGGACGCCTGGAGGCAGGATATGCCCTCCCCCCGTGCCGCGCGCTGACCAAGGGGCACATGCCTCTGCCCGCCTCGGCACCACCGACTGCGCGGACAGCAAGAGCTGGACCCAGCGGGGAGATTAGGGGCTGCAGGACGTCCAGCCCCAGGGGCGATGGCGGGGAGGAAGGTCAAGAGGAAAAGGCGGAGAAATGTGTTTCTGGCGGGGTAGTCTGCGGGCGGGGGCTGAACCGGTCGGGATTCAATGGGACCTGCTGGGGTTGAGAAGGTTGAACTTCCAGAAGTTTCTTCAGCTTGTGCAGTTGCTCTGTCCTTTGGCAAACTGCGAAGGAAAAGCCAGCGAGGTTCGGGCCCCTGGCGGCAAGGACGAGCAGTCCCCTCAGATCGACAGTCTGCAGGGGGGCTTCAGACCTGGCCGTGGACGCCCTGCCTCTGAGCAGCTCTCCGGGACCCTTCCTGCCCACCCCGGGACCCAGACACCCCGCTGGCCTGATGAGACCCCCTCTATGGGAGCTGCATCCAGCCCGAGGCCCCACTGGGCCACGTGGGCGCTTCTGCCTCCACCCCGCACTCCACCAGCCCTGTCCCCAGACCCTCATCCTGGACCGAGGGCGTCAGCAGGCCCGGCGCGGGCTGCTGCGGGCGCCCCAGGAGAAGCTGTACTGCTTTTATTAATAGGGATATTTCTACTTTCCAGGTTTTAGTAATAATTGAATTACAAATATATGCCAATAGTCTTGCATAATATACTCTGCACAGTAAATACACAATTAGAGAAGCGAAGCACCAGGAAAAATAATTGAAGAAGGTAGACAGGGAAGGAAAGTAGATGATTTGAGCTGCTCGTAATAAACATTCTCCGGCAGATGGAGCTCATACAATTGACTTTTCTTTTTTCTTTTTAGCTTTTATATGAAAACCAATATTTTAAAAGCTAATAGATTTTAATTTTTAGAGCAGTTTTAGGTTTACAGAAAATTTGAGCCGAAAGTACAGACTTCCTGTATACCCCTCTACATTCACCCACAAAAGAAAAATCGATTTTCACACTAGACAAATCAAAGAGAATACAGAAATGCTGATTTTTTTTGTTCTAGCATGTTCCATAATGATTTTGACAGTCAAATGAGATGCCAGCATGTTGTTGTATTTTTTTACTGATTTGCATTCAGCAAAAAGCAAAAAGAAGAATGGGCACATCGCAATGGGGAAGGGCTATATCCTCCTGACATTCACTCCACTCTGTAATTACGGGCTCCTGGGATGCTGCTCCCAGCTAATCCGTGGCCTATCCTGAGTCATGGTTTCTCCTCTCAGCCTTATTTGTTTCTAGACTTGACCCACTGTATGACTTGCATGCTCATGATCCTGTCCCTTCAAAGGCTAAGGGAAAGCACAGTGGCACAGCCCCATGTAACGATTAGTGTTGTCCCGCCTTGTGTGAAAATATATAGATGCATTGTAAGCTGCCCAATAATGTTCTGTTTAAACTGGTCATGTGTGTAACAGCGTTCATTTTGTGGAAGATCATCTTCATAACTGGTAATTTCTAAAAAGACAAAGGAGTAAAGTTTTCCTGTACCCTCTCTGGGATCATTACTGTAACGGGAAAGCTCATGAACTGTTCCAAAATTGTGGCATCTGATGTGAATAGAAGTGATCTCAATTTAATATGTGAGCACCAAAGGGCAATGTGAGGGGTAAAAGGCACCACATTTTCTAGCTGGGAATCTGGTGCAGTAATAGCAGAAAATACTCTAGTTTTCCAGAACTCGATACAAGCTACTGATTCCTGGGTTGCTGAGCTTTTTCTATTCTGTGTACGACATCATCACCTGAGATGCAACCATGGAGATGAGGTTATTGATTTGAAATGTTTTTCTTTTTCTAATGTAAACATTTACCATTATAAATTTCCTTCTAAGCATTGCTTTCTGTTGTTTAGTGGAGTGTTCTATAAATAGTAATAAGGTCAAATTGTTTGATAGTGTCGTACAGGTCTGCTGTATTCTTGCTGATTTCTAACTGCTGACTCTATTACTTATTGAGCACAAAGAGTCAAGGTCTCCAAGTGTAATTGCAGATTTGTCTATTTTTCCTTTCAGTTTTAACAGTTTTATCTTCAAGCATTTTGAAGCTCTGTTGTCAAGTGCATACACATTCACATTATTATGTCTTCTTGGTAAATTGGTCCTTTTATAATTATGTAATATCCCTCTTTATTTCTGTACTATTTGTTTTCCTGAAGTCTAATCTGTCTGACATTAATATAGCCTTTCCAGATTAGTGTTTGCATGGATATCTTTTTCCATACTTTACTTTTAGTCTATCTATGCCTTTATATTTAAAGTGGGTGTCAGAGTAATTCATTTGAGAGACGAGGGTGACTTGAGCAAAGAGGTAGCAGTGGAGACAGTGGCAGTGACTAGATTATGGGTTAATTTCCAAGAGAGGGACAACTGGATTTCATGACGGATTAGATCTGTGGACCTTAAATAAATTGACAGGCCGTTATTTTTCCAGAAAAATGGTTTATTTGGGATCAGCAAAAACTTGCAATTTGGGGTCTACAACCGTGGTGAGCCACGTGCAAGTCCCTCAACAGCAAGGGAAGAGAAACTCTTTTATAGAGAAGAGGCAGTTGGGAGGGCTATTGTAAAGAAATAATCCATCAGAGGAATTAAGAGTTCAATGTGTAGTGGCTTTTCATTGCCTGAGTTGTGACAGCATGTCACTGAGTGAGCTTCTTGCTGGTCAAGAAGAGCAAGTCTTTCTTCCTGTTGGGCTCTGCTATTGACATAGGGCATTAGAGCTCCCCCTTTGGGCCTCCCCACTCCAATTTAATGAGATTTCTGTTTATTAATTTGACAGATGTAAGTGAGAGAAAAGTAAGAGGGAAAGATAGCTCTGAGATTATGACCAGAGGTACTGATAAAATGGAGGTGCTATTAATTGAAAAGCAAAAGGTAGTGGGAGGAGCATGTTAGAGGTGAGTTCAGAAGGTGAAACATCAGAAATCAGTATTGGTCATATTAAGTTAGAATCCTCAGCCTCTAGAATGCAGTATCTAGAAGGAGACTATCCATACAAGATTCTCTGTTCTAGGTCTTATTTTTTTTTTTTAATTAAGATTATGATAGTTTACAACTTTGTGAAGTTTCAGTTGTACATTATTGTTAGTCATGTTGTAGGTACACCGCGTCACCCTTTGTGCCCTCCCCCCACCCCTCCTTTCCCCTGGTAACCACTGATCAGTTCTCTTTGTCTATATGTTAACTTCCACCTATGAGTGGAGTCATACAGAGTTCGTCTTTTTCTGTCTGGCTTATTTCACTTAACAAAATACCCTCTAGGTCTTATTTAACATGACCCGGTAGTAAAACAAGGAACACATTGAAGTTCCTGTTTATCCTCAGGAGCCAAGCGCTCCCCAGGGCTCTGCTCCCCAGCCCTGCTCACTTTTATCCAATGAGAGACCTTACTAAGAACAGGTCAGGCTGTGTCCTTGAATCTCTGAAAACTCCAGTGTCTCAGGAGGTTTGTGTTCAGCCCCCCCTGCAGTCTCAGTCACTGTGTCTCTCAGAGCACAGAAGTACTCAGCAGAGTCACTCAAATGGGCCGATGGTTTCCTCAGGTGGAAAGTGGTTTCACTCTTCTTAAATTCAGCCTCAAAACCTTTGATGCCTTTAACCAGAGGGTCCCCTGTTATGTACTTGAGGAGAAGCTGGAGGCCTTGGCTGGGGTACTGGAGGTACCAGAAGAGAGCAAGAGATCCACCATAGGAATAATTGCACTTCAGCTGCAGAAAGGCTCCTTCAGAGACAGTGATGTGGTCATCAGGCTGGGTCACTGACTGGGCTCCCGTTCCTCCTGAAACATCAATGTTGAGTCAGTCATACCAGGATAGATAGACCCACCTATAATGAGACACTGTCTCTATTCAGTTTCTAGTTGGAACAATGTTCCTTCTACGGAGGCAGGAGCATGGAATACAATGTTACTTACTCACTGTGAAGAGCATTCCAAGCAGCATAATAGTCATTGAGAACATGGCTAGGCAGTGAGAAGCTGAGAGCTATCTTCTGGAAGCTCTTCCCTAAGGAGCAGGAAGGAATGTGCCAGAGGATGCTGAGTTCTTGTAACTGTGAAAATCTGAGATTCAAGAGGTCCCTGTTTAGGTAAGTTCTCCAGACTGTTTATAAGAGATGTTTCCTTGACAATGACTGCTCCTGGTGTGGAGCCTACTCAGAATGTGCCCCTCAGTGAACTGCAAGGTGAAGAAGCTCATGGGAGTGAGGCATAACTTTTGTTAGAGGAGACATTTCTGGTTTATGCAACATTGCCCTCTGGAGGCCAAACGTAGAAACAAATTGAGTCAAAGTTTTTGTGCCCCATCTCCTTCCTGCTCCTATCTAGGCTTGAATTTCTTAGCACTGTAATCTGACAAGTGTTTTCAGGAGTCCGCTTATTAAGAGGCTCTTTTAATCTTATGAATTAAGTAGCATTATTTAATCCTATGAAGTAAATCATATTACCATGCTCATTTTATAAATGAGCAAACTGAAGCACAGAAGGAAGGATGTAACTTGTCTAAGGTCACAGTCAGCGACAACTGGAATTTGTCCCAGTAATATGATTCAGAATCCACATTATTAACCACTGATAGTTTAGCACTATAGCCCTTTAGAGTAGGTATTATCTTCACTTAATAGAAGGGAAATCAAGTCTTTATGAAGTTAAACAATTTGTCCAAGGACACACAGGACTACAACTACTTCTATTAAACTGAAGCCCAGCTCCTCACCTCTATGTTATCTATGAGATAGTCCCACCTTTTCAGAGTAGACGTGATTTCACCAAGACAAACACTCAGAGCAAAACTCAGAAAAGAATAAAAATTAAAGAAAATCCTCAAGGAATGCAAGCCCTGAATGGATGGGCAGTGGGAAAAGAATCAGAGAAAGTTCAAAGGGTAGTCCAGATACATAAGTGGGAAATCAGAAATGACTGGTTTCCTTAATGAAAAGAGAAAGGGAGTTTTAAGAAGGAAGGATCAAATACTGAAGAAATGTCTATCTAGTAAGATGACAACTAGAAGGTGTCTATTGATTATGATTTGAGTCTTTTCATCAGAAGCTAAACTGCAGTGGATGAGGCAGGGAGATGAGACAAGAAAGAAGAGAATCTGAATATAGAAATCTCTTTCCGGAGGTTGAATTCTGAAGAGGAGGAAAGAGACATGGTGTTAATTAGACAAGGATGTTGAAGGGATAATAGTTGAGTTTTTAAAGATTGGGATATATTTACCAGCTTTTGGAAATAATCTGTTAGCAATGGATTGAAGTTCTGAGGAGACAGATGGGATTGGAATAGGGACCAGAGGAACAAATTTTGGTACAAGGAGGAACAGTTATTTCCAGTTTTACTGGAATGAAGGAGGAAAAGATTGGTGTATATTTCAGTAATTTTGGGGAGTGTGAAGGCAGAAAGTTGAAACATGTATTAATTTATAATGGGATCCTTTTTGTTCTTATGAATAGAAATTAAGTGCCTCCCAAGAGTGAATGGAGGAGGTTCTGGGTTAGGGAGTCTGAGGCGTGTGAGAACTTTTGAAATAGCCACTGTAGGAAATGATAATGGGAGACAATTGTAAAAAAAAATAATACTTTCCTGGCAACACTGTAAACCTAGTTAGTGTTGAAGATGACAACAGGTTTCAGTGACACCAATCTGCACACTTGTGTGATTATTTTGAACTCTGCTTAGCAAAGTACATTATAAACAGCAGGATATTAACCCCTGATTGGGAATTAATAAAATCACTGATAAAGCACAGAAATGGGGCAAGAACTATAAGATTAATGACTAAAGATTGAAGTAGGACCATCCAGTTTAGGTGTTTAGATAAGAAATTTAAAAAAATGGTGAGCCTCTGAGAAATAAGATGACAATAAAGGGATCAGGGACTACATGATCATATATCATCAAAGAACAAGTGCTGTAGAAGGAACTGAGTGTAAGAATCTAAAGATGCAAGGTTTCAGACAGGATGTAAGATTTCAAAGATGAAACAGCGTCTAACTTGAGAATTATCGTCAGAACTTCCTACAGTGTGGCCATAGGAGTTAATGGCTAAAGGGGATTCTAATCAACAGTGTTTAAAGTTGATGAGTTCAGGCTCTCTCCACATTGTCCATGCGGACAGTTAAGTCATGCGGTGTTTCAGGTTACAGTGGAATCTTCTGAGCTGTGTTCAGTCTTCAGTATATAAGGAAGGGTGTCTGGTGCTTATAAAGATGGTAGTGGAAAAGGGCTGGGGAAAAGTAGGGGTGAGAGACCTGAGCCTCAAAGGTGCACAGACAATAGTCTGGGGTTTTTTGACAGGTGGTGAACAGAATGTGGTTCCTGTCTCTAGATCTGAGGTCTTACAGATGAGGGAGAACAAGGAGCAAGGACAAGAGGAAGAAACTGTATTCCAAAAGGAGTCGGGTTTCAGGGAAGGGACGTGGAAGGAATTTTCACAGGGGCTGTAGAATGTTTGCTTACAACAGAATGGAGATGTAGAGGCCAAAGTGGAAAGATTTCCATGGGAAGGTCAGAGGCAGTTAGGTCAATTTAGAAAATAAAAGAGTCAGATACGTTGGAGAATCATTCCTCTCTGGAAGGGGTCAGTCACACGTAGGACTGAATGTGCTTCCAAGGGGTCCTAGCACAGAGGAACACGGTCACAGTAAGGCCAGATGGTGCTCAAGTCTCTCAATAGGTGTCATAGATCAGTAAATTCTGCCTGTCCAGATGGATTCAGGTCTCATCCACCACATTAGATCAGATTACATCACATTACATCACATCACGTCACATTGCACTACATTACATTACATTACATCGCATTACATTCCATAATCTGAGTGTGCTTCTATTTATAGACAGGAACACTAGACAAAAGTATCTCTACCCCATGTTCAAACCCCACATGGTGAAGGGCACACCTGGAGCACAATCCCTGGAGTCCCGAGATCATTGCACTCATTGCTTGTAAACAATTGCCTGGGTCTCTGCAACGGAGGCCGTAATGTGCTGGAAGACTTCGGAATGTTTAGTAAGGTTGATTGTGAATCTTCTCTCTTGCTTCCATATCTATTGGTAATTTAAGTATCCAATCCCTCTACTTTTTTTCTGAAAATCATCCCTCTCTTACCTTCTATTGCTTCCTTATCTAATATGGAGTCTAAACTCAGTCATTTCAAAGATCTTTTGTAAATGCCATCAATGAACACACTCCTCTCTCTTCTATTTCACCATTCTGCCAAATCCAAAGACAGGATGAACTCCCTTACCCACTATTACACCAAACTGGAACCATGCACTAGATTCTGGGATAATGTTAGCTATGGCAAAGATGTTGGCTAACAAGTCTTTTTGACCGCATAACACACCACAGTGCTATGGGAGACCTATAATGTCTAGGGCTATGGCGAGTCTTGTCTGCCATACACTATATGTAGGGCTTGTCACCTACAAATAGTGGATTTATTTCTTCATCCTTACCCACAGAATCCTGATGTTACTTTTGTTAGCAATGGTCCTAGATAAAAATACCTACCTTCATAGACTTTTGCAGCTTGGGGTCACCAAGTACTCTGTTTTGATCAATACGATGTAAATATACTGAGAGATTTACCATTCTTTCCTATTCAGTCGTCTTTTCTACTTTTCCTATTAATCTAAAACGTCGCTATGTAGGCTCCTTGCACCAAATATCAAAGGTCAAAAGTTCTAGATTTGTGTTCCAGATAGAGGGTAAAGACCATTGTCACATTTCTCATCTATGGTCTTTTAATAGAGGGCCAGGGCTTACCCAGGGCCTGAAGTCATGTTTGTTTAACAAATGTGTTCTTGCTCAAATATTTCAGGGACAAAAAGGGAAAGCTGGAATTACAATACCTGAAATTTTAGTTTTAGTTTACATATACCCTTATAATTAATTTGAATCCATTGTATCATTTAAAACATTTTATTGGAATATAGGATACATATAGGAAAGTGTAAATATATTATAAGTGTATAGCTTGATGAATTTTCATAAAACTGACACACTCTTATAACCAGCGTTCAGATCAGGAAACAGAACCTTAGCAACACTTCAGAGCTCTCTCTATGACCTTCATGATACCATCCCATGGGTAACACCATCCTGGCTTCTAACAGTATACATTAGTTATGTCTGTTTTTGTGCTTTATAGAAATGATGTGTTTATTGGTCATTCTTTTGAGAAATACCTGCTTAAGACTTTCGCCTTTTCTATCAGTTTGCTTGTTTTCTTATTGATTTAAACATCTTTTTTTTAAATCAAAATGAGCCTGTGAAAATAGTACTTGTGCGAATATCTTCTATTCATGGCTATTCTTTTAACTCTTGAAATAATTTTAATGTCAATTTTAATATAGTCCAATGCCAATACTTAAATATTTTTGTATCCTATGTAAGAAATATTTACCTAACGCAAAATTTTGAAAAAAATTTCTGTATTTCTTCTATAAGCATTATATTTTATTCTTACATTGAGATCTGCACTACATCTGAACATTTATTTACATATGATATAAACCACAAGATATATTTTTTACATATGACAAATTATTAAATGCCACTTATTGAAAAAACCATCCTTTACATTTGGAAAATAGAGCAAATGTATTTTTTCAATTTTTTTGTGTAATTCTGTTTCGGTATTAGTTTTATCACAAATGATTTTTTTATCAACAATCTCCATCGGCTCATCTTATTCTTCTCTTTTATTTCAATTTTCTCTCTACTTTTAGATTTTTGCTTTATGTTTTACAATTGCCACTTATTTATTACATTGATGATGCAGTTTTCTAAACTTTTGCTCTAATTCCAAAATAAATTATTTTTAGAAGTTTTCTCCTCCTCTTGTGCTCAGGATATTTTCTTTTCCATGTGCCATATATATATACATATACATATATGTATATGTATACACATATATGTACATGATGTGTATACACACATACATATATATATACACACACACACATAGATACATACATACACATGTGCTACTTTGTTTCTTACAAAATTCTTATGTCATGTACTTACGGTGGTCAGTTAATTTGAAACTCATTTAGTGTGTTGGCTGTTTCATGCAATTCTGGTGGAACAAATCAAATATTCTCCCAGCTTTAGAATCAGTCTCTCAGATGTACCTAACAGGTGGTGTGTGTGGAACATTAGAATCCTCAATGTGCACTGCTAACAGTCTCTCCTTGACTGGATCCATATTATTTGCAGGAAGTAGAAGTCAAAAGAAACAATGTGCCAATGGAGCTCAGAGTTCTTAACTCATTATTTTCTTGTGAGATCATTTACTCATGGTAATCTCTAATGGTCAAACTAGTCTTACAACTAAAGACAGTTCAGTTAAAAACTATGAAACTGAGAACGAGTGAGTTAAAAGAGAGAAAAAAATTTGAGGTAAGCTTTGCTAATGGCAGCTGTGCATACTCAGCATCATCAACTGTTGTTTAAGACTAACCAGGTCTTTCCGTCCTTCCTCAGTATAGGAGTGAGCAGTTTTTCCCAGGCAGTCAAGGTCCAGACATCAAGAAGAAAAGAGATTCAGCCTCACAAGGCCAAACACAGTCAGAGGATGAAAACTAACCAGAAAAGTCCAGACAGTCAAGGAAATAAGAGATTCAGTCTTCAAAACCAACACAGGCTGAAGTAGCCTGCCAGCAAGACCACATGCTCCCGCCCCCCACCTAAAACCCCAGCACATGCTCCCTCTCCCCTACCTGAAACCACAAATAAAACCCCTACCTTTTTCCCATCCAGGAGGTAGATTTGAGTTTTAACTCTTACTTCTTTGTCTGGCTGCCTTTTGATAACAAACCGCTCTCCTTGCTATAAGCCCGACATTTCAGTTACTGGCTTTCATGCACATTGGGTAACAAAGCTATGTTTGTGTTCAATAACAACTACTTGTTAATTTTGTAATTTATGAAGATAAGTTTAGAAACATATTTCAAAACAGAAAACAGTGGAAGAACAGTCAAATGATTTTTTTGATTTGCAGAGGATTATTTCTGAACAGGGATGAAAAAAAGAAGAATATAAGAAAAATCTATTTACATGTGGGGGCTACTTTAGGTTGGCAAGCGCTATGTTTCCCGGGGGCCTAGCATTGCTGAGTCATCGTGTCTACCTTCTACACCTTCTTGGCTTGTAGCGATGGCAATGGGTTGACTGTGAGTATCATCTGACGTCTAAATATTGTTCTTTCTTTTTTTTCTGTTTCCTTTTTTTTAAAGTTAGGAGAATTTTCTGCCCCTTTCCAGGGGTTTCTAGCTGAAAGTCATTCTAACCTTTCAAAACATCTGGTGTCAGCCACCTTATGACAAACACAATATATTAATAATTCTAACAGTGGAAGGAGAAATTTATACCACTTGGCATGATCTGTGAAGAATGTCACAGATAAAGAGAATTTTGAGTTGGAATGAATTGATGTTTCACAGAAAGAGCCTAACAAAGTACTTGGGGGAACTATTTTACTAACAACGATTGGAAAAAGGAATAAAGGAAAGAAAAGATTATGATATGCTTGTAATATTCTTGAGCTCATTCTTATATTGTTATAGAAGGTCTAACTCATGCCCACCAGCATTTTATTGTATCCCTAGCATTTGTCAGTAAAATGTTCAGTCATGAATATTTAGCTGTTCAATAAATATTTGTTGAGCATCTACTATTTGTCAGGTACTGCGTTAGTTACTGAGGATACTTCAGCAAACAAGTGATGAAAAAAACGTTTCACATTTCTGTTTTTAAATATGGGGATGCAGAGGATGGCCTTAGAACAAAAGTAAAATGAGGTCAAAAGCTGTGAAGAAGAGGAAATAAGTGAAAAAAGCAAGGGGAGGGATCTTGAAAGAGATATGCTAATCTTTGGAAACTGCCACTAGCGCCTTCCACTGCACTTTGTAGGACTGGTGTACAAATATCTGTTCCCTCACCTCTCACTCATGGAATCCGAGCAATTTCCAAAGTGTGATAATCATAGCAGTTTACATTTGTGTGCAACTCTTATGTACCAGGACAAATTTCTCAGTCTTTGTGAAGATCCAAGAATGTCTTGAATGCCACTCACATCAAGGTTGGGAGCGCCTCGCTCCTGTTTTCTCTGCCTTGTGTACTAATTTCTTTTATATCATTTCCACTTGGGAAAATGCATGGCTAATACAGACCTGAGGATGCTTCAGAATTTCTCTAAAATCAACATGCATTTCTGCTTCTATTTGAATATTTCAGGGGCTAGTACTATCTCTTTACGGGATTGGGGAATAATGCTTTTCTCATCTTGTAACTCATGATTCCAACTCTAACATTTTGACATTTTGCTCTAAAATGTGCGTCACCTTCTGGGATGGGTACTATGATCCATTCCACTGACTTTCCATTTGATTCCTTATTTGGGAGTCTCCTTCTTCCTGTTTCTTCACGTAAGGCAAGACTGAACAACATATGCTAAGATTCTGGAGCTTGACAATCTCAGGTTTAAAAATAAATTAAAAAGTTGATGCTGGGGGACCAGCCCTGTGGCTGAGTGGTTAAGTTCACACGTTCTGCTGCAGCGGCCCAGGGTTTCCCTGTTTTGGATCCTGGGCGCGGACATGGCACCGCTTGTCAGGCCACACTGAGGCGGCATCCCACATGCCACAACTAGAAGGACCCACAACTAAAATATACAACTATGTACTGGGGGGATTTGGGGAGAAAAAGCAGAAAGAAAAAAAAGAAGTTGGTGCTAACACTTTTCAGACTGCTAATATTGGCAAGTTTTTAAATCTTTTTGAAATTTAGTTTTCTAATATGTAACGTAAGTCTCAGAATAATTCTTTCCCAAATAGTAATGAAGATTAAAAGATATAATATATTTAGGGCTTTCCTAAAAGGACACCGACTTTTGAAGCCAAAAAAAAAAAAAAAATACATGATAGATTTGACAATGTAAAAAACAGCCACATTAGGGGCTGGCCCCGTGGCCGAGTGGTTAGGTTCGTGCGCTCCGCTGCAGGCGGCCCAGTGTTTCGTTGGTTGGAATCCTGGGCGCGGACATGGCACTGCTCATCAGACCACGCTGAGGCAGCGTCCCACATGCCACAACTGGAAGGACCCACAACGGAGAATATACAACTATGTACCGGGGGGCTTTGGGGAGAAAATTGAAAGATAAAATCTTTAAAAAAAAAAAAAGCCACATTAAAAATAAACAAATTGAAAGGTTATATATTAGAATAAAATATTCAAACAAATATAAAAGCAAAGAACTATCTAAGATATAGAAATAATTTCTATAAAGAAAAAGAAAACGAACCTAACAGAAAAATGGTCAAAAGTTGGGAATAATCATATGACCAAGGTCAAACAGGGGCCAATATATGGATAAAAAGTTGCTGAAAAGCACTAGTAATCAGGAAATCGTGAAAATGCGTATAGATAAAGTATATTTGTATTGTTAAAATAAAAAATACTCATAATTCCCAATTTGCGCAAGGATGTAAAATAAGCATTTTCATTTACTGTTGGTTGGAGTATAATTGTTAACACCTTATGGAGACACCTTAACAACCTTATGGTTGTCACTGTCTCCAAAAATTTTAAATGCAATTTTCTTTTGATATAGCAATTCCAATTTCAGAAATCTCATTAAAACAGACACTTCTAAATCTCTACAAAAGTGAATCGACAAAGATGTATAAGACAACTTTCTTTATGATAGCAAAGAAATAGAAACAAATTTGCACCAACCGGAAAGTAATTCATTAAATGATGGAATGTTTCAAAGTATTAAATAGGCATCAAAAAGAATTAAATGGACTTCTCTACTTCTTTTCTACTGTAGAGATATCTCCAGGACACTTTACTGCATGAAAATCAAAAGGGATGTTGTGAAAAATTTCAAAAAAGTCCAATTGTCTGTGTGTGTGTATATGTGTGCATGTAAATGTGTATGTAATTGCATCAACTTATATGCAAAGAGATATATATATATATATGATTGAAAGAAAAGAGGCTGGCATGATACACCTTAAACTATCAGAACTGGCTTTCTCTGAGAGGAGAGTGGGAGCTGGTGTGGAATGAAGGAGACTCAGCTCTGGGCTTTCACTTTTGCTCCCCATGAGCCTTCCATGATGAGATGGATCTGTGTGTTGTTGGGGGAATATCAAAAAACGTTGAAAACTCTTTAGAGATGCAAGACTTCTAAATAAATTTTAAAAACTTTCCTTCTTTCTTATTGCTCTCTGACTCTCCTTCCAGATTTGCTTTTGATGGCTGCTACCTCCCACCCTGCCCCCTTGCCTCCAGAAAGATATTGCACAGGTGCGGCCCCATCTGTCTCAGTGTGCCTTTCTCACAATGCAGTAGTACACAGCAGTGTCTCTCAAGGTGACCCGGGGCAGGATCAAAGTGCTGGACTTTCTGTCTGCTGTGATGGTCAGAGAGGCCTTGTTGTTGGTCACATTGTCTTGTAAGCCATGAATTATATACTGTGGACTCTGACTCGGATTTTGCCGATTCCAGTGTATATAATCATCCACACTGATGGTAGAGTGGTTACAAGGCAATTTTACATCTTCTCCTTCTGCACAATCCATGGAATTGGGCTGGGTGGTCTGAGCATCAATCACAGTCCCTAAAGGGTCAAGAAAATCAAATTAGCTCCAAAATACAAATCAATATAATTCTATGGACCAAGGACACAACACTCCCATAACTTAACTCTCTGCCCCTACTCCACACTCCACTGTTTTTATTTATATCCTGCTAGAATACAAAAATACCATTGGTGTTCATTATGGAGACAAAGACATATGGCAAGAATCAGAGACTCCACAGGCTCTGTTCCATGGGTCCTTGGCTCAATGAACCCAGAGATTTCTTACAACCTGGATACTGCTAAAGGCTCTTTTGGAATCATGGCTATGTTTTAATCATGTAGAACTTTGTGCTCCTAGACAAATGCGTAGATCAGTTCTCAATTCCATCCACAGCATGGTGGATAAACCTTAGGGAGAGGAGTAGAGAGGAAATAACTCTTTAAGGTCCTTTGGCCTCAAAGTCATCCCTTGGTAGATACAGAGCACTTACCCAAGGTCAGAAACACAGTTACTCCAGTCACCAGCCTCATACTTCAGGGACAAACTAGGATCATGGGCCCAGAGCTTAGTCTTCGTGTCTGATCCTAGGCTTAAAGAAGTTCCAGAGAACAGAAACAATAGCTACTAGCAAAGATTTTCAAAGAGTGCAGCTGCCACTGTATTGTTGCCAGCACCTTGTCAGCCAATGAGAGAGCAGTTCCTTGTCCAGATCTTCCTCCCCTGCTTTAGTCATGTCCCCAAGAAGAAGGGAGACTATCAACCAGACAACCTCTTAGAGCTCAAGTTTCCTCCAAAGGTCCTTGGAATCATGTATCTGCTGACGTCCAGGGAGACATTTCTCAATGCATCTATTCCTGATAAGGTAACTGATGACGTGCATGGTGCTCACTCTCATCCTCCTGGAACAAACGTCCTTGATACTCATTTCCTCTAAGCCTATGCTTATGGGTGCTGGGCACCAAGGATGCTGGGGCAGAAAGAAAAGAGAGAAGGGAAAGCAAACAAGAGGGGGAGGAGGAGATAGTAGAAAAAGCTAGAGGACGGAAGGAAAAAGAGTATAAGGAATGGGGAAGGTAAGGGATCATCAGGGGAGGGGAACTGAGAGAAAGTGTTTAGGGAGATACAGGAAAGGGCTCAGCCTATTGGGCTAAGGGATCTGAATCCTTGAGCTCATACACTCAGCAAGAAATTATAAAGTATGAGTCCCAAAAGAGGATGAAATATGTCATTTTTCCCGTTTTTTATGGAACATTAGTGGTAAATATAGGCTTACCTTCCCTTCGCCAAGGAAGAAACTAAGTTTGCAGATGAAGCAGCTCCCTCTTGTGACTGAATACATGAATTGAAAAACTAAAACCAGGCCAAAAGTCAGCCTGCAAACTTCGGAAAGATGCTTTCCTCAGATTTGAAGTTGGACATGTGAGTTGTAACACCTCTGTACTCATCTTTGTTTTCTCCCAACACTCCAAAAACGCCAAGGAAGATTTTCATTGCTTTTGATTACTTTATTTCAGTGACATCCCCATTATGATTCTCAGTTGATGGCTTCTCTTCAATTTTCCTTTTGTCTTTAATCTCATTTTTAAAGGTTGGCTCAAAAGCCCATATTAATCAATGTTTACAAGAGAGCTTGGTACAGACTAGACACTCAAGAATTCCCTGTTTTCCGAGTGAGATGAGTTATTATTCATTAATTTAGTAGGAGAAGTTATGCTGGACAACTCTTTAAATTATTCTGAATAGAATCTCCAATTTTATGGAAAACATTTTGAACAAAAGACTCCAACAATGCTTTTCAGAGTCTTGAATTTTAGAAGATTGTATCATCTCCACGACCATACGAAGTTATCTTCATTTGCTTGATGAAAACCAAAATAACGTACTTAGTTTACTCTCAAAATAGCAAGAGAATTTGATAAAAGGCGAACTCCTTTGCATGATGAACACTCTCACCATCCAGCAATAAAGGTGAATTCCTGAATCTGATAAAAGGTATCCATGAAAATGTCCAAAGTCAATATTATCCCCCCATAAGGTCAGAAACAAGACAAAGAGATACACTATCACTACTTCTATTCACTCTGATACTGAGAGGCTGGCATCAAGTCAGGAAAAGGAAATTAAATGGATATAGTTTGGAAAGGGAGAAGTAAAGCCATTTTTATTCATAGATGATACATTTGTATATGTAGAAAATACAAAAGTATCTATAAACAAACTCAAAGAACTAGAATAGAGGAATTAAACAAAGATACTAAACACAGAAATCCATTTTATTTCTAGATTCTAGCTAAAAGCGTTGGAAAATAAAATTAAAATGCTGTTTATCAAATAACTGGGAATGAATTTAATGAGGGCTTGCAAATCCTCTAGAATAAAAGCTACAACACATTAATAAAAAGATTCTGGGGGCCGGCCCGGTGGCATAGCGGTTAATTTCGCACCTTCCACTTCAGGGGCCCGAGGTTCAGACCCCAGGTGTGGACATGGCACCCTTTGGCATGCCATGCTGTGGTAGGTGTCCCACATATAAAGTAGAGGTAGATGGGCATGGATGTTAGCTCAGGGCCAGCCTTCCTCAGCAAAAAGTAGATGATTGGCAGCAGTTATCTCAGGGCTAATCTTCCTCACACACACACACAAAAAGGAATTAGAGCAGGCCTACATAAATGAGGAGGATATCACATAAATCTGGAGATTCCATATGTTAAGATATCAGTTGGCCCACATTGACCCGTAAATTCAACACAATATCTGTCAAATTACTAGGATCATTTTGTGGTAAAAGTTGAGAAGCTAATTCTATAACTTATGTGGAAGTACAAAGATCTAGAATAAGCCTTGAAACAGAAGGAGGAAGTTTGACTTGCATTTCTATATTTCAAAACGTATATGAAGCCCCAGTAATAAAGACAGAATGGTCTATTGGTAAGAGGATAAAATAAACAGGTCAATAAACAGAATCAAATCCAAAAATAGATCCATATACAATCACTGTTGATTTATTTTCTCCCAATGAGCCTATATAATTCAGTGGGGGAAAAGATGATCATTTTAGGATAAGTGCGGGAGCAACTGGCTATTTGTGTTTTTAAAAGCACCTTGACCCCTTCCTCACACCACATAAAAAATTAATTCTAGATCGATAAGAGCTCTAAATGTGATAGGTGAAACTACAAATCTTCTAAAACAAATTGGAGAATTTCTTTATGACCTTGGGAGATGGCAGATATTTCTTTAAAAGTCCACACACACAAAAACTAACCATAAAAGAAAAAAGTAATAAATTGCACTCCTTAAACATTAAATACTTATGTTCCCCAAATACACCATTGAAGGTGTGAAAAAGCAAGTTACAGGCAAGGCTAAAGGATTTACGCTACATATATCTGACAAAAAGCTTGAATACAGAATGTGTAAACTTGTCTATAAATTTTAAAATTGTGAAAATAAGACAAATAACCTACAACCCAAAGAAACACGGACAAATGATGTGAATTGACACTTCTCAAAAGAAATTATCCAAATAGGCAACAAACTTACAAAAATATACTCAATATCATTGCTCATCAACAAAATGTGAATTAAATCTACAATGTGATACCACTACAGGCATGTTAAAATGGCTAAAATTTTGAAAAGAACTTCTGCTTCTGGATAGATGGAGTTATCGGAAATTTTAGTTTAGCCATTCTGATAGGTGTGTAGTGATATCTCATTGTGGTTTTAAGTAACGTTTCTCTAACAGCTAATGATGTTGAATCTATTTTCGTGTGCTCATTTGCCATCTGTATATCTTTCTTAGTGAAATATTTCCTTGTCCGTGTTCTAATTGGGTTGTTTGGTTTGTTTACTGCTGAGCTTTGAGAGTTCTTTATATATTCTAGACACTGGACCTTTGTGGGATTTATGATTTGCAAATCATTTTTCTCAGTCTGTAGCATGTCCTCTTAAGAGAGTCTTTTTGAGGGTAAAGATTTTAATTTTCAAGTCCAACTTATCGTTTAAAATTTTTTTATGAACTGTGGCTTTTAATGTTAAGTCTAACAACTCTTGGCCCAAACTTATATATCAAAAACTTTGTCCTATGTTCTTTTCTAAAAGTTTTATTTTAGGATAGCCTGATATCCTGACCTGATCCAATCTGATTCTTATCTAAAGTTATAGGACCACCCAATAACCAGAACCTACCTACACTGATACCATTTTAATGACTTTTTTTATATAATCTTTCCTTTGTTTGGTAAAGAGACAACTTACATACCTATGCCTTAAATTAATCCCTACCCTCAACCCATCCCTGCAGCTCTTTACTGCCCATGGGTCCTGTGCCCGTGCCTGCAGCTGTTTGCTGCCCATGGGTCCTGTCCCCATGCTACTCCATGCTATTCTCTGAATAAAGGAGCACTACTGCCAGACCTTGAGAGTCCAAGAAATCTTTCTTTCGACGACTCGGCTCTCTGAGCCAGCATCAACACCATGGCTCAAAACCACAAACATTTATTCTCTTACAATGCCGGATGCCAGGAGTCTGAAGTCAAGGAGTTGGCAGGGTCATGAATGCTCCAGGGGAGAATCCTTCTTTGCCTCTTCTGGCTTCTGGTCCCTCCAGGCATCCCTTGGCTTATGGCTGTGTAACTCCAACCTCTACCTCCTTCGAGAAGACCTCCCAAGGCTGGCCTCTCCTCTGTGTGTCTCTTAAAAGGACACTTGTAGGGGACCGGTCTGGTGGTGTAGTGGTTAAGTTCATGTGGTCGCCTTCAGGGGTCTGGGGTTCGCAGGTTTGCATCCCTGATGCAGGCTCAGCACCGCTCGTCAAGCCGTGCTGTAGTGGCATTCCACATAAAATACAGGAAGATTCGCAAAATGTTAGCTCAGTGACAATCTTATACACACACACACACAAATAAGGACATTTGTCATCAGATGTAGGAGCCACCTGGATGATCCAGGATGATCTTATCTTGATATCCTTAACTTAATTGCATTTGCAAAGGCTCTTTTTCCAAATAAGGTCACATTCACAATTTCCGTGGATTAGGATGTGGACACATATTTTGGGGTCCACCATTCAGCCCACTATAGGAACTCTGTCTTTGAACTGTTGTCATGTAAATGTATTAGTGGTAGAAATCTTTTTTTTAGGGGGCGAAGATTAGCCCTGAGCCAACATCCATGAGCATGTTCCTCTACTTTATATGTGATATGCCCGCCACAGCATGGCTTGCCAAGCAGTGCAGTCTCCACATCCAGGATCCAAACCAGCACACCCTGGGCCGCCGAAGCGGAATGTGCACACTTAACCACTGTGCCACCAGACCAGCCCCAAAATTATTTTTAAAACTTTTAAATCCCCCAAATTATAAATGTGCACACATACTATATGCTAAATTATCTTTTGATTTTTGTACATTATTCTAATACAAAAGTCATGCAATAGAGATATTATTATTCCAAATTTACAAACAAGAAAACTAAAGCTCAAAGTGATTAAGTAATTTACTCAAGATCAAACATCTGGTAAGTGGCATAGTAAGAATTAGAACATATCTCTCTCTGGCTCTAGAGTCTCTGATGTTTGGAATCTGCCAGGCCAACTACATTTGTGTCACTCAGTAAGGTTTTCAAATGTTAGAGAAGATATGTTAT